GCAACTCAATTTCATAAAGATTTAATGGGTATTCTCTTTAAGAAACCTTGACTTTATCTGCCATCCAATTTGAGTTCTTCCAGATTACACTTTCCTATAAATACATACATTGGTATGCTTTCAGCACTCAAAAATTAAGTCCTTCATATTTTCCCCTGATGACTTAGCTCACACTAACGATAATGACTGGATACATATTTAAAGACTTTTTTTTTTTTCATGATGAGGACAGTCAAGCGCCAGAAAAGGTTGCCCACAGGTGATGTGCTGTCTTTGTCCTTGGAGGTTTTCAAGGCCCAACTGGATAATGCCCTGCGTAGCTTGGTCTGATCTCACAGCTGACCCTGCTCTGAGCAGGAGCTTGGACTAAAGTCCTTATAGGGTCCCTTCCAAACTCAATTATCTTATGACCCTAAGACTTTTGCTATTATCTCCAGTGGGACCAAAGTTGGAACAACGCTGTGGAAATCTCATCCCAAGAAAACCTTCCTGTGTTTCATAAATTATGTCTTTGGCTTCAATCTATCTCTGCTATTTCAATCAAGTGCTCTTTAACATAGGTATAACATGGTAAAATAGGAAGTTACAAACCAGCTTCTCCAGGTAATCCAGGTGGACCAGGTATTCCTTTAGAGCCTTTGAAGCCTCTTATTCCTTGTGGTCCATATCCTGGCAGTCCAGGAAGCCCCATCTCTCCAGGAAGACCAAGACTGCCAGGCAATCCAGGTAGTCCTCTATCTCCTTTTGAACCAGCCAATCCCTATTAATGAGCATATACCAAGCATTACCTGCTGTCCACACCAGCTGTTATAACAAAATGCCTGATTCTCTGTCTGACTATAATCATGCATTACTTCAGTAACAGTAGTAACCCTGCTAATTTAAGAGGAATTTTTCCTCTGATTTACTTGTAATTAAAAGAATATAGATTTTAATATCAATGGTTTACAAATAGAGGACTACTAAGAGAGAAAATGGTACAAATAAATACAACAGCTTGATTTTTCAATCGCTGTGGCATTACTGAACACTTTTTTTAAAACAGGTCTGGTAAAAAAATCCAGAACCCCTCAGCTCTGATTCTCCTTGAATATTGCAGAGTCAGGTTTAGAGATCATTATATCTGAATCACTTTAACAGTTTCTCAGCCAACACAACAATAATTTTTACTTTTTGTTTCTGCTGACAAGAGCTCTGCCTTAATGATTCCAGTTTTATGGTCAGTCCTCCCGGCTTTTGTGGTTTCTCTCAGCCCTGACTGAATAACTCCTGAAGACTAAACAGGAATTATTTGAATTATTATTTCCATTTAAGCATTATAAGTAGTCAGGAAAACTGTCTTTTTTTAAACTCTTATTCATCATAGGAATCCAAGATAATGCTCCAATATAAATATCCAAACTAACACCACAATAGACTGCTGAGGTTTTTCAGCAACATGTATCTGCACTAGCCTCATCTCTCTCTGGTATTAGCTAAGAATATTTACTCTCATTCTTTCATGTATATTGGTTACGTATATTGGTTGCTATAGTTGAGCATAGTACCCCTAAGTCAGGTAGAGGATATTCAGTTAAATATCTGAATAGATAAAATAGTCTGTTGTACAAGATATAAATACTGACTTAGGTTTTCATGAATTCCATATTAATTGCAAACAATGCATACCCACCTCTTCACCTTTAGAACCCTTGAATCCTTTAGAGCCAGGTCTTCCCAGAAATCCACTTGAGCCTTTTCTTCCTTTGTCTCCCCTGGCCCCTGGATCTCCTCGCTCACCTTTTGGCCCTTCTGGATAAACATATCCTGGCTCACCTTTTGATCCTTTATGTCCTTGATCTCCTCTAAAACCTGGAGACCCCTGGAACAAAGCAATCAAAAGAATTTCAGCGCTAGACATATGTCTACTGTTTTCAAGCTTTCTTTTTTTTTTTTTTTTTTTAAATTAAATACCTGAGAGTGGTTCTCTTTATTCTCATCTTTGTTCACTGTAACGGCACACTTCAATGAACAGTTTTTTGGGGAGGTTTTTTTTGTTTGTTTTTTTTCTCCTGCCTTTTACTCCTTTTGGCCCCAATTATCATTTCATTTATACTACTATAAGCAGGCATAATACAGGATCATTTAATGGATCAGACTGTTAGGTACCTGGTTGTGCTCTGGTGGCACAAAAACAAAGACAAGAAAATACCTTGAAATCTAATTGGAGATTTCTCTGTTAACATGGGAATGTTTCCCCAGGGAGACAATAACTGCCACAGTTGGCTCTGTTCATACTTAACTTCTCCTCTCCATTCTTTGCCCTCAAGGTACAAAATGGGTACTCCATCTCAGCCAAAGCCAGTACAAGCTGAAAACACACTGGGCTCTAGTGACCTTGGGCTCATGAGTTCTTGGGGGCCTTCTGGAAAAGCCTGCTAGCAGACTCTCACTCTGCATCTGTACAGCAACCACCACAGTGAATACTTGTGCATGACATTTTTTTATTGGACAGCACCGAATGTAATTTCCCATAAATAATTACTACTATAGGCACAAGTTCGAACAACCAAGTGGTATGTCTGTGGCAGCAGGTGTCAGCCTTCCCTCTTCATAATGTTTCCCAAGAGGGAATGTCCTTTGCACCCCTGAAGAGGGTATTATGAGAAGCAAGTTTCTCTGCACAGCTGGGGCTTTAGCAAGTCCTGAGTACGGTGGAAATGAAAAGTAAGAAGTCTGACAAAGACCACAGCACACAAAACTCTATATATGCTTTACAGCCACTGCCATGATTATAGAATTATGTAGATGAACAGAAATAAACTGTAAACTACCCATACCAGGCAGAAGAAGCAGTCTATCCATCGTGAAATACAACACAGGTTAATCACACAGGTATTTACCTGCCTCACTGCCTGGGCTGAACTTCTTGCTGCGCTGAGCAAAAGAGGTTCATGTAAAGCTAGGTCAGCCATACATTACAGTCTCTACCTAGGCCTCCCATGCAGACACATTCATTACTACAGAAAGAAAACTGTTGAGAACACCCAGTATGACACTGCATGTAAAACCAGCCATGAGGTTTCTCTGAAATAATTCTCATGGGATCTGAAAAATAATCTGAAAAAACAAAGTCTTACTTGAGCTCCTGGAAACCCCGGTGCTCCTGGAGAACCTGGAGAACCTTTTGGACCTGTTGTTCCTTCTCTACCTGCAAAAGAAACAGCATATTTTGCAAAGAACAACAAAAACAAGGGCATGGATTTTGACAAGCTCTGATAATCACACCCAGCATTGAATGTTTCTGCTTGTTACAGTGACTGCATCATCATAGACTGACCCAACTTCAGGCCGCACCTAAACCTATTAGCATTACTAGCACTCTGACTTCACCTCTTTAGGGCCTGTGCTCATATCAGCAGATGGAGCTGCATCAGGCTCTCACGCCCATCACAACCTCAGGGCTAGTTCAAGGACTGCATGCTGCAGACATGCCCATACCTGATTCTCATGCTAAAAGCATAATCACTGGCATTTTCTACTATCCTGTTAGAAACACCAAGATAATTTACCAGGCATGCCATCCTGGCCATGTGGCCCAGGAGGACCAGGAAGACCAGGTATTCCTGGAATATAGCGGCAATCAGTACACACGCAAGCTTCATCACCTAGAATGAAAACAATTCATTAGTTGTTCCACAGCCAAGTCATTCCCAAACTTAACAAATGTGTTACATAGTTTCTTACAGAGGATGGCTAAGACTTTTTGGCTACAGTGATAGGAACATGGCCTTAATTTTGTTGGAGGATCACTTCCAACACAGTACAAAATTAGCTGTCATCAGACAGTGAATCAACTACATTTAATTGAAAATGTGCGAACATTCAGTTTAAATCTCTTGATTTTTTTCAAGTCTAGCTTTATTAGTGACTATATCCAAATGGCTTACTGATAAGCCAAATTCTCTCAAAAGAAGAAAGGGACATAGGCTTAAGACTAACATGGCTCCTTAACTGCCTGGGTGACTTTAATGACTGGCAAGTGGCAAAGAGATTCAGCAGCTCCTGTGGTGATATTTCCTGAAGGAACCTTCTCTCAGAGAACAACTGTTAGGGTTGAACATAGCAACGGGAGACTACAAAAACCCTATCAAACCTGTAATAACTGTTTGTCCCAGTGAAGACCTACACCCTGGCCACAGTGCTGCACAACTGGCCTGTAGCACTAGCACACGCATTGCTTTTTCAGCTGCTGTTTATTGGCAGGGGAGGAAGACAACTTGCTATCCCTACTGAATTTTCTTATATCTCTAAATTCATCAAGTGGCTTAAGAGGTAAATTAAATTCAAAATTTCATGATGATCCAGGAACATTACCGGATTGTACCATCTACTTCTGAGTGACAGTTTTCTGAAACTGACCTTTCATGCCAGTATCTCCTGGAGGTCCTGGAGGCCCTGTACACCCTGGCTCTCCAGGAAGTCCTGGTGGGCCTGTTCTAAATGTTATTCTACCTGTTAAAGAAATGCGCATGGCATCATTACATCAGCAGATTATTCAGACAATTTTCTATTTGTTAAGAGAAAAAAAAGTTCCAGGGATGAGCTGGAGACAATATTCTGATCCTCATGGATCCCTTCTAACTTGAGATATTCTATGATTCATTTAAGAGAGAGAACTACCTGGACAAATCCAAAACACTTGTAACTGGAAATACTTGAGGATAAATATGGTAATGCCGGAGTAAATCTCAGTAGATGGTTGGATCCATCTGTCTAGCCTTTAAAAAGCTTAGTAGCTTCTGGGGAAAGTATTTTCATTTTATTTGAATCAACAGAAACATAATCCTTTCTTTTACCAGGAATGAAAAGGAAACCTTTCTTTTCATCCCAAATTATTAATGCTGCTCATTTATCTTTGAAAGAATTATTCTGGTGTATTTACTATTACTTTGGAAAAACAGAGCATGCATCGAGCTCTTCTTAAGGTAATATATTTGGGGGATAGATAAGTTTTTGAAAGAGAAAGAAAAGAGAAGCACTACATTGGTATTGGTTCAGAAAAACTTGTTTTGGCCATATTGCATATAAAAGAAACATGATGCTCTTGGTACTTCTAGTTAAAGAGGTATTCCTAGTTAATACATTTTATAGAAGTTTTATAAACTACTACTGCTTTATTTTCATCCTGCCAGAACGTCAAACCTGCTGTAAGGCCCACTAAGACATGCAAGTGATTTCTCTAGCTTTCAAATTAGCCTCTTCTTAATTTAGTTTTACAGATTTACTACAACTTTTGGAAGAATTCATTTTAAAAACAGACTTTCTCTCACTAGTCTTTCCTGGTTTTGTGTAGCAGATTTTTATAGTCACATTTATACAAAAAGGTGAGAACTCTTTATACTGGGAAGTCATTGTATCTTCTACACAGAAACTCATTAGCAATGGAGCACAGACCTTTGCTTCATGAATATCCTAAAACAAAATTTCCAAAGAGAAATTCTATTCAACCATATTGCTCAAAATACACTCTATAAGTAATGTATTTATATAATCTCATACATTAGATATTGAGATGACTCTGGATTTGTTCTTGTTCATTATGTATGCAATACTAAAACATCACCTGGTTCTCCTGGAGGGCCTGGTAATCCAACAGAACCAGGTCTGCCAGTAATACCAGGTAGTCCTGGAGGGCCTACAATACACACGCCAGTTTGTCCTTTCTCTCCCTTTGTTCCTTTTGGCCCAGGAGATCCTGGGGGACCTCTCGGACCAGGTCTTGACACACCTAACCAAAATGGAAAAAATACAAAAATTAAGTTAAAGAAGAAATGGTATTTCAAAGCAAACTAAGTACTCAATAGGATGAGTGAGAGACAAACATACTGAGTTCATCCCACTCATTTTCATCTTGCTATATATAAATAATCACAATGACCATGTGAAGACATTTTAAAATGATCTTTAAGCTCTCTTGAAATACTTGGCCCATCAAAGCTTTTGGGTGACAATTTTTTACCACTTAGAGATATGCCTGAAATAATCTGAAGTTAAGATTGCACAAAGCTAATTCAGTATAACGGGCAGGAAGAACAATGAATTTTATTGTTGGTACTGGACCATTACACATACCTGGTCTACCAGCATCTCCGGGAGGACCCTGTGGCCCTGCAAAAGCAATGTATTTAGAACTTGAGTTAAACCACTGTAAACTCTGCAAAGTCACTACTCATTAATACTCACTGCAAACTCTGGGCTTCTCCATTTTATGCTTATTTTATCTTTTAAGAATTTGATTTTGCCTGAGTATGCATGTACTATTTATGCAACTGTTGCATACTGACAATTTTCACTGAAATCTGGCAAGATATGGATGTTTACAACAGGTAGGAATAGCATCCACCACATTTATCTCAGGTAGGGATGCACTCAATTACTTAGGAATGACCTACAGGCCTGCAAACTTGCTTCTTTTTGCCACTATTGCTGTAGTAAATATACCACCCCTTAACAATGCCCTAATATTTTGCAAGGCTCAACTTTCCTGTTGCCAGCCCTTGGAAGTATGTAAGTAGATTTGTAACAGTAAAGAGTATTCACTGAATGCAACATAATCACTTGGATACATAAATATTTGTAAAACTAGAACATCAGAAGACAAGGACTTGCTGGATGAGCATGAGATATACCCTACAAGATGCTGCCTCAGAGTTCAGCCCACAAATTGTTATATTGTGAGATAGCCTAAATAATAAATCAGTACATTTCAATTTTACAGCATGGCCAAAATAAACAAAATAAACACTTGCATATCTTTATTGTTTTGGAATGATAGGCAATAAAAATGGCATAAGACAAACTGTGAAAGCTACCAAAAAAACCCCAAACCAAACACAAGATAAAAAAGTGCATGACCTTTAACAGGAGACATACAGCCCTGATCGTATGTTTATGGCATACATATAATGTGCTGATGCAGTAGTCCACTAAGGTCATGAGACAGGACGTCAGTGATCTTAGGTGCTCAACTCAATTATTTGCAGAAGCATGTCAGCTTCATTCTTTTTAAGAGGAAATATGGCCATAAATCAAAGTCTCAGGATACATTTCAATTCTGCAATCTGATGGAACTAACTTCTATATACTCTTCTAGAGGCAGAAGTAGGTTGCTGAATGCTCGAAAACCTAGCCTGCAACAAGCCATTTGAGTGGGAAGCTCTTGATAAAAGATTCTAGTTTTCACGTCCCACTCACCAGGCATGCCACGTTGACCTTTTGGTCCTGGAGGTCCGGGGGGTCCTTCATCTCCTTTTTCACCAATCACATTATCATAATACTCTGTCTTAAGAGAAAGATGGCAGTGAGATAGAGAGAGAAGCACAGTGCCTCATATTGAACATTTGGTTAGAACAATGTTATGATCTCATTCATAATTTTGATGCTGTGACACCATGAGACCTTTCTAATCACACATTAATTCCAAGCAGCCAGAAATAAAAATCACAACTGTTATACACAGATAATGCCAAGAGACCTGTACAAATAAATGGGGCTGGGATTTCAGTTCAATTCATAGAATCATGGAATGGTTTGGGTTGGAAGGGACCTTAAAGATCATCTAGTTCCAACCCCCTGCCATGGGCAGGGACACCCTCCACTAGACCATGTTGCCCAAAGCCCCATCCAACCTGGCCTTGAACACTTCCAGGGATGGGGCATCCACAGCTTCTCCGGGCAACCTGTTCCAGTGCCTCATTATCCTCATAGTGAAGAATTTCTTCCTAATACCTAATTTAAATCTCCCCTCCTTCAGCTTAAAGCCGTTCCCCCTTGTCCTTTCACTACCTGCCTTTGTAAACAATCCCTCTCCAGCTTTCAGTTCAACTCCCAGAGAACTCCTCTGCCTGCACATGCAATTATATAGGCAAGGTGTAAAATGGAGACTCAATCACAAATGTTGTGGTAGCATGAAATAGAAAATATTCTTGAAAGAAACCTCTGGGCATCACTTAGTCTATTTCATTGGCTCAAAGCACTACACTACTATTTTAAATAATCATACATGAACCCAGACAAAAAAATCAACTACTTAAATCACATGTGCATTAAAAAGTCATTCCTATAAAAATTAATACTTAATTTATAAAAGTTTCATATTATGATGTTTCAAAGTTTCGACAAATAACAGGCAAAATAAAAATGGAGTTTGCTGTAACTCTTTTTTTTTATAACTATAAATTTTTGCTATTTTCTGAATTATTTTGCACAGGCACCATTACAGGCAAATCAGTATTATAATAACTATTGTGCCTTGATACATAAACATTGCACTGAAATTCAAATGCACTAATTTTAAAAGGAATAAAAAACTGCCTAAAATTAAAATTCAAAATTTTTACTTTTCTCCTACTGAATTTTTGAAAATCAGTGTTTTTTTAGTACTCTGTCAATATCACAAATGATTTAGCTTTTTACAGAGTTATTTCTTTTGAACCATTTGGGCAGAAGGTTTCCATTAAATTCGCATGGAGCCTTTAAGAAAGCCACTAGCGAGACAGCATAACTAGACAGAGAAATTGTACTCGTAGCATTTCTTGCTTTCTTTAAAAAGTCTTCAAAGATTAAAGATAAAATCTTTCAAGATTTTAAAATTAACACCAACTGTTCTGGAACTGATTAGAGATTGGTTTAAAAATTAACTCCTGTGAATTTTTGTAACTGTTCTGTGACTGTCCAATCTCCTGCCAAAATTGCTGCAACAGAGTGATGTCTAACCAGGCCCTGATCATGCATCCACCTCTACGTGAAGGAATATGCCATCTCTGTGATACTTCCAGCAGCATCAGTATTTTGAGAAAGCCATGCCTTGATCAGAGCATCACTAGACATCCACTATTGCCTCATAGTCAGTTTGGCTTATTCTTATTCTAATGGTTTAGAAAAATGATATAAAGAATATAATTTACACTTACTTGACCACAGGCTCCAGGTGGACCAGCGTTCCCTTTCATGCCCTTCATCAGAGGACAAAAATGGGTTTATTAAAAACAATACACAACATGACATTTGGTAACCACTGTTACTTCAGTACATTGCTCATTAAAGAAGAACTTCTGCTCCTGACCAGTCCTTCACCACCCCCGTCTCTGTTCCTTACACAACTATTCAGCCAAATACACCAAAGCCTACAGGAACACATCAGCAGGCATAGATGGACACCAGTTCAAATACATGATCTATTTCAGCTGATCCATTCCCTATTCCATGATATCGTTACTTGTCATCTTTTAGGTAAAATAAAACATATTGCACACAGAGTGATAAATAAAATGATATAATAACCCCAAAACATGCCTTATCCTCATAAGCAACAACAAAACCATTAGACAATACCTTAGCTCCTTGCCTGCCAGTCTGTCCCGGTTTGCCTTGTTCACCCTTTTGTCCCTGCAGGTGACAGTACACAATTTTATGAGGATTTATCTCTTAGCATTGTCATCAGTAAGATGTAAAATTGAAAGCTTTAATCTTTCATGGTAATGGCAAGGTGAATGTGACTTGCGTGGGGGAAGAAATCTCAGGGAAAACTCCATTTGAGACACGGTTCCATGTCTGTGGTAAATACCACAGGTCTCATCCAAACCTGCCTTTATAATGGCACACTTCACCAATCCCAAGGTGGAGCCCACTGGGATAGCACAAGCATAGGAGGCCCCTGTTTGTTCTCCCTCTGCAAAGTACTATTGCTGAAAGGGGAGAAACTGAACACAATGTGAAACTCTCACATGCAGCAACTCCCTCCTCCCTCTCCCAGGACTTGGTCAGTCTGCATGATGGTGCTGATCTCAAGAGGCGTCAGCAGGACCAGGAGGGAAAACAGTGCAGAGTGCTGCTAAGGCTTTCTGCAAGCATATATGTGCAAGGAAAAGGGACTTCTCAGAGGCTTATGTAGTTAAAGGCTCTGCTAGTTAGTAAAGTTCAAATGGGATCAGAGCAATGACATGTCCTTGTCATGACAGAAAGTTTTCTTTCTGTCAGCTGGGGCACTAGAGCTTTGCGGTCTGTCATTCCATGTTCTTTGTCAGACTGGAATGCGTTTAGACTGTCTGCAAAGGTTGTTTTGGCATGATGATAATGATATTTTAGTAAGACATATGTGAAATGGGCTATTCTGAATAAGAATTTTGATAAGATATTTGTAAGGTCACTGTGACCATAATGATAATGTTAAAGTGTAAGTGAAATACAGAATTGGTAATTAACCAGTTGAATACAGTATTACAAATACATTTGAATAACTTTAGCTTTTAAGTTAGTACATAAACAAGATCATTTTGGTTATAAAATGGCATATTTTAAGAATTATATGATGACAAGATGACAATTTTAGTATCTGTCAGTCATCTTGTTTCAGTCCATGGCAGCTGTGACCTTGACAATAACTTTTCTTTGTAAAAGGATGTCTTTGATTCCAGTGATTAAAAAAATTAATTTTGCTTCTTGATTTATGCTGAAGTGAAGCTATAACTCTTTTACAAAAATTTCAGTGTGACTAACCAGACTTCAGTTCAGTACAGTTAATTTTGCATAACTTGGATCCTGTCTCAAAATCATTTGACAGTCAGCAGCAAGCAACAGGTCTTTCTATTTTACACAGAAAAGACGTCTATGAACTGAGCTTCCCTCTCCTGCATACAACTATGAGAACATGGTATGCCCCAAGGCCAGCCGCATGAAAGGGAATGTTTCACAGTGTATACAAATCAATATTTTCAAACACATTCTGCAATGGGAAAAAGCTGTGATAAGAAGATATGGCCATGACAAACAGATGACTGCTACTCAGAAAATGTTTAGAAGGCTTCCTTCATTACCGGTAAGCCAGGTGGACCTGGGGCACCTTCTTTTCCAGGTTTACCCTATAAAGGAAAAACATAATAAAAAACATTAAGAGGATCAAAAGAGGGGTCATTGCATTCAAAGCACATAACAACTAAATGCTGTTCATATAACTGTATTTTAGCTCTTTATAAATTCTGAAAAGCCATTAAAGTTATTTTTTAAATGTTCATTATTTCTAATCATAACTAATGTTCATAAAACTACAAAACAGGGAGTAAGATATTCTCCCTGTTATAGTATGGAATCCTATCCTGTGGAGGATTAGTTGAGGCAGACACTTCACCTGCACAAACTGCCAGGCAAGTGCAGAAAGCCTGGTGCAAAATCAGGTCCTTGCAGAAGCAAGACAAATGATAAAACAATAGAGCATCTAGCAGCCCTTCTAACGGTGAGCACGGAAAGATACTGAAGGGAAACTTTTCTCTTACAGGAAATGGGGTTAAAAGAGATGAACTGAAATTATTTAATGAAAAAGAATACGGAGTGCACTTCAAAGGTATTGGAAGTAGGGCAGTAGTTGGAAAAATAAGAGCAGAAGGAGGCAGCGTGCCAGAGTTATCTGCTGTTTTCTATGGCACGCAGCACATTAGACAGCCTTCTGCTGGGGTCCTGGGATCTAGTGGGGCAACAATACATGTTGTGTAATTCATAGCAACAACAAAAAAAGAAGACAAAGAGAGGGGGAAAAGGGAGAAAGTGAGGAGAAAAACAGAAAGAAATGAAACCACAATTCTGAATATGGATACCTTACTTGCCACCTTGAAGGCGGAAATGAGGAAAACCTGGTTCATTAAAATCCACAGCAGGAAGGTAGTGAGGTAAGATAAAAGAGGGAGTGGAAGATTACAAGCTCAGAACAGGGGAGAAAGTACATTTTAGAAACTTGTTTTGCACAGAATAGATCAATGAAACTCAAAAGAATTTTGAAAAAGATGACCAGACCATGAATTACAATGTAAGCACCAGAAAAAAAAAGCAATACTCAAAAGATGATAGAACTTAACCAAAGGTGGTACTCTGGAAGAGAAGAAGGGGAGCTGGAATGATGTCACCACAGGCTCAAAACTCGCTTGCACAAAGTAGTCATTTTTTCTAGAATGGCAAATACAGAGCCATTTGATATTTTGTGCTCACTGATGTAATTTCAATAGCAAAAGGAAACATTTTGTTTTAATTTTAGAATAGCCAAGCAGTCAATGTCTTAACAGAATTTTATTTCCTTAGCATTCTTCAGGGTCAACAGGCAGAAAAGCAAGGGTGCTGTACTACTTCCTCCACAAAGAAGAAAGGGAGAGGTGAATTAAGAAGAGTTCTAAAAAATACTGCATGACAGGACAGAAGACATAATATGGAAAAAACACAGAAGATGGAGGAAGAAACACACATTGGATAGTAGGAACTTTTAGTACTTTACACCAGTAACTCAAATAGAAATTAAAACTTTCATAATGCATCCGAATAATAAAGATAATTGTTATAGCACCATAAAATTGAAGAAAGAGCAATCTACAGGTAGTACTGGGCTTGTCTTGATACCTTTCCTTGTGGAAGAAAAAATTATTGCTACCACAAGGAAATATGTATGTTTAGACTAGATGAACTATTTCATTTGAAAATTATTTTTCTTAATACTGCTTCCAAAATGTATTTGAAATAAAAATATTTTGTTCGGAAAATGTCACAAAACATTTTGATTTATTTGGATATTTTAGGGTTCTCCCCTGATTGCACATTGGTAAACTGTTTTGAGTTCATAGTTTTAAGTTTGAAAACCATTTGAATGAAAAGTGGTACCTTTCTATTTAATTCTCTTCAAAATTTAGATATACTCACGTAAATTATATTTTAACATATATGCTTTTTAAAATCAACATATGATTTTTTCTCATGTTATCCTTTTAACAGAATAACCTTACGACAACTTTCTTCACATGTCCACATACCTGCTGATTGAGTATACTAATTTAAGTCTGCTGCCTTAAGTAAACCCATCATTTTTAATTCTCTTCTACATATACACCAGCACTACAAAGCCAGTATGTGTTCAGAAAAGCACTTTTTTTGTTTTATTGTTTCAACTGTAGAACCTTGACAGCAAAACAAACAGAATCGCATCCACCATCAACTGACCTTTACTTCAGGTACTCATGGTGTGTGAACCTACAAGAACAGTCATCTGACTTCCAGCTTTCTAGTCTGGTTTACTGGATGAAAGAGCTTTTGAATCTAAGAAAATTTGCTCTGAGTGGTATTGAAACAAAAGCTGGAAAGCAACAATGGTGCAAAACTGCTTTTCACGAAAGACTAACATTTATTCAATTGTTTGCACATACCTGTGCTCCAGGTTCTCCTCGGTCACCCTTTTCACTCTGAGAATCACCAACCGGCCCCTGTAACAAAACCACCCTCAAGACATACATGTTTTGAGACTCACATTTTCTAAATTAAATGTATCATCTTTTATAATCTTGTTATCTTTCAAAAGAAGTATAAAAGTAAAGTACAGTTAGAATGTTATTAATAGATATTCTATTCATTAGTTCTGTTCATTAAAGGTTGGAATAGGTAGTGTAAATACTGGACTCTGAAGAGTAGCATTTTCTAGGTGATGCTGCCTGAACATCTGGATTTAAGAGATTTACTTCTGGTCACTTACTGTTAACCCCATTGGCCCTGGAAGTCCTCTTGATCCTTTCTCTCCTTTCTCTCCTTTCAAGTCCTATTACACAGAAAATAAAAATTTAGTATCATCTTTTGGATTTTTCTGTGCTTACCATAACACTCAAGTTTTACAAATAGGAAATCCTTATGTTACCAGCAAGCTTCTTCAAGCAGAGACAGTTCTACTTAAATGACTAAAAGAAACTGAAACATCATATAAGCAGTCCTAATTAGTCTATGATGTTTGAAAAAGAAACTGGCTCTGCACATATTTCTGAACATAGCAAGTTCAAAAGGACCTAGCTGTTATTGTATGCAAAGGGACTAGAGTAAATATCCCAGAAATGGCATAAATTGCAAGTGAAAAACAAATAAACCTTAGTTGCTTCACTGGAGCTACAGTTGCCTCCAATATGTAAATGCAGTGGCTACCCATGCTATCCTTGCCTCTGTGGGCTCAAGATTAGACTATCCTACTTGTAGTACTATTATACTGAGAGAGTTGGGATCATTCAGCCTGGAAAAAAGAAGGTTCCGGGGAGATCTAATTGCAGCTTACCAGTATCTGAAGGGGGCCTACAGGAAAGCTGGAGAGGGACTGTTTATCAGGGAGAGTCGTGACAGGACAAGGGGTAATGGGTTCAAGCTGAAGGAGGGTCGATTTAGCTTAGATGTTAGAAAGAAATTCTTCCCTGTAAGGGTGGTGAGGCACTGGAACAGGTTGCCCAGAGAGGTTGTGGAGGCCCCATCCCTGGAAGTGTTCAAGGCCAGGTTGGATGGGGCTTTAGGCAACGTGGTCTAGTGGAGGGTGTCCCTGCCCATGGCAGGGGGGGTTGGAACTAGATGATCTCTAAGGTCCCTTCCAACCCAAACCATTCTATGATTCCATGATTCTATGTTTTAGGACACATCCTCAGGTCATTGTAAAGCCAAAGTTTATGGACTACTTAATTATTATCTAGTTAGACCCAAGCCTCAAACTATTTATGTAAGGAGTTTTGAGGGGCTTTTAAACCTTAATGCCCAATGTCTCTGAAAAATTGCTGTTACCCCATGATAAACTGCCACAGCTGTGCCTAGGAAGTGCTCCAGCTGGTCCATATTTGATTTAAATAGGGAAGAGCTGCTGTGCCTAAAAGTTGAACCTTGCTTCTGCAATCTTTCTCTTCCCTCCCCAACACAGTCTTGATGCAAAATTCATTTTTTATTTTAGCACATAATGGAGAGGGAGTTTGGGCAACTTCATGGATTAGATTCAAATTAAATAAGGAACACAGTCAAGAACAGGGTGAAGAGTTGTTCCATTAATATGTGAAGACTAAAACTGTGTTTCAACTATTGCTGTTTAAGTCCTATATAAGGACAAAATGCAAGAATTTTAATTCACAAAGCAATATTTAAAATGAAAACTGAATCAGACTCATTGTTTTCCCAACACTTTGCACAATTACTCATGTTCCAGTAAAAACAATGAGAAAATAAAATATGAAATGTACACGAACATGTTGTAAGCTTTTGTGAAACACTGCTAGCTCAGAGTCTTGATATCTTCAGTGACAAGACCCAGAGGTCAACATAGCTGTGGCTTTGATAGCCATTCAGAAAATTCATGTTGATTTGGTGAAGCTAAAGTGATTTACTTTTCATGTACTCAGAAATCCACAGCAGGTGGGTTACTAATAAGCATTTAGCATTCCACTGGCATTGTGCAGATGTGCATGTGAATACACAGGCCTCAGCTGAGCAGGCTGTACAGACACACTCTAAGAAGAGCTTAGTATCTAACTAAACAAGTCTGAAAAATGTTAGGATGGGTAAAAGGAAATGTTATCAGAACAATGAAGATAATAACGTCCTCTCAAAGTAAAACCTAGTAAGATGGCTTATCTGAATGTGATGCTTAATAATTTTACTACCGTCATGTTGTCTGGTCCACTTAATGTCACAATAACAGTTCCTGGTGGTCCAGGGGGTCCAGTTAACCCAGTGTCACCCTTGAAAGAAAAAAGAAAAATAGAGCAATTACAAGCAGTGTATTTTTATTGTTTCAAATTACCATCGCTATTCTTCTGACATTGTGAAAATTTTTCTGTCATTACACTTAGCCGTTAGTACAGCTAACATTTCTATTTACTTGCCATTTATCTTCCAATAAAAAGGCATATGGAAGCCTTAAGACTACTATGACAGCCTTCTCCTAGCTGAGAAACATAAAAACACATGCTTATTTCTGTTAGAATTATCTTCAATGTTTGATACTATTTGCTTAGAAGTTATATAACCATTTTAACTCTAAATCAAAGTATCTCCTTTATTATAATTTTACTCCCAATTTAAGTAAATCAGTAACATAACAATCTGTCTTTGGTGACATCCTCAAAACTGCAGTCTGGGTATTACAGGGAGATGATTGTAACAGAGTGCTGACAGATAAAATTAGCTTTCATGTGTTCTTAACCAAAAATATTAATATCGCAGTACACTTTTTCATTAAGGATCTTTTAGGGAAAGTCCTAAACCTGATCTTTCTTGTGGAGCTCAACAAAACAACATCCGTAATTTTCAGTGATTTTAAGCCAGTGCACTTGCAGCATAACAGCAAAGAATGCATCACTTTCAGAAGGAAGCAAGATGCTCCATGGTCAGCTGAGCTCATGCTAATGAATAATCAATTCTATTTACAGAAATTTTCCCAGGAAACTTCCAGCACATTGCTGGTAGTAATTACAGAGTTAAAACCAATCCCACTGTCAGACAGTGCTGTTTCAGCCCACAGCTGAACCTGTGCAGGTCAGTTAACATAACTGTGAGATGCCCCAAGTTCTTGAAAGGATCCTTTAAGGAGACTCAGACTGACTACACTGGCCCTCCAACTGCAGGCTGAGGTCCTGTGAGACAATATATATATATTTGTAGTCATTTCTAATTTAATGTCACTTATATGGGATACAAAGTACGAACATAGGCAACAAATCATCCAGTTTTTATTCAAAATCTGGGAGGTTTTCTAGCATCACAAAGGCTGACACTGAAAACATGTGGGCCATAAGAAGTTGTGAGTCTACAGATGCTATATATTTACCAATGTTTACATGCTTACATAAGCATTGAGGAACACTGTGCAAATGATCTATAAATGAATTTAAATGTTATGTGTTAGTAAATATTAACTACTGGCTCCTCTTAGGCTTCTACCCTTCTATCAGGAAGTTTATATCATTAGCTTTTATGTGAAAACAGTTTGTTCTTAGATATTAATTGCCATGTTTCCATTTTCCAATAAAAGACTTCTACATATATACTGAAAATTTTTATTTCAGTCTACTTACTTCCCTAAACATTTCACCACAGTATATCAGAAAAAGCAGAAAATAGAAACAAAACTCAAAAAATGTTTTAAGGATTCTATACAATTACCTTTCTTCCTTTGGTTCCTATTACTTTGAGTCCCATAAGACCCTGTAAAAAAATCCCCAAATGTTATTATTATTTTTTTAAAACACCTACAAAATGAAATAATTGATGTTAGACATAATAGGAAGTTTTCATTTTTATTACCAATCTGAGACTACCTTAGGTCCAGGAGGTCCTGCCTTCCCTGGCATACCCTACAAAAAAGGAAAACCAAATTTCTTAATTTAAAAAATTACAATCTGCAGCACCAATGTAGGTGTTTTGAAGTACCCCATTTTCACATGAGTTTTATCACTATTTTTATTCTTTCTTCCGTCTTTACAACTGCTGTTTGTTGTGAGTGGGTGACAACAGTATCTATAAAGTCTAGTTGCAAACATACATCTCTAGTACAGTTATACACATTAGTGTTTAATGTGAATTTATGAGAAATTATTTGAAAATCAAAATTTAAGCCTACATGCACAAGGATGCTTCTGAAAACATGGAAATTATCATGCATAAAAATAATCAAAAGAAACTGAAAAAAAAAAAATTGGATGTGTACAGAAGGATATGGATTTTACATACACAAGTCTCTAGACCACAAATAAGTCTGGGAGAGTCAGGTACTTGTATTCCATGGGTTTCTCAGAAAATGGAAGGCTAAAGTAACAAGTGAGCCATAAGTTAATACTCACTGAAGGTCCTGGAGGGCCCTGTGGTCCAAGTTCCCCAGGATAACCTTGAGCACCCTGGGTACCCTGCATATTAAAACAGAAACAGGAATAAATCTCCTGGCAAGATTATGAGCAAACCACAATGCTAAATTCAATGAACTGAATAACTGAGAAGCAGCACTGTTTCTGGATTTCCTTTTCCTGTCTTAGGATAACACAAAAGTATAATTCCTCCTCACTGCTCCATTGGTTGGCATATGTTTTGAAACATCAGAAAAAATTTCTGTTCTAAAACTAAACTACTGAAGTGAAGATGTATGTGCTGGTTAGCTGTGGACATGCTCAGAATTCATATAGTCCTATTGCTAGCCCTAATAAGCCTTTAATCTTTTGAATATTCTACACCATAAATTATCTACCTCATTTTCAAAGACATGGAAAATTAAAATTAAAATTAATTTAATGCCCTCTATTTATTGTAACAGTCAAAAGAAATGTCTGCTTTGCCTTCTCCTATTAATCTCCATTTTTAATTATGGATCATACTGTCCTTTGTTAATAGTCCTGTAGAAGTTCAGCTGGTCTAATCTGTTTACTCTTACTTCATGGGGAATTTTTGCAGTTGGACTAGATGGTCATTGTAGGTTCCTTCCAACCATTCCATTCCACTCCACCCCACTCCACCCCACTCTGTATGTAGGGGTAAACCCCTAAATCTATGACCGTTTTTTCTCCATTTCTAAAGTATTGTTGTTTGTCTGAAACCTGACTTCCCTATCTCACTTTACTAACACATAATGGACACCACTATTGGTTCTGATGGCAAAATTAATTACTATTGTCTTGGTGTACTCTATTTTGTAAAGTCAGAAGAAATATTTTTAATATATTGTATTAATCAGATTACATAAAGTTAATAATTTTTTAAAGGCACAGAATTATTTTCTGGTTTAGAAACTAGTAAAATAATTGTAAAAAATACTATATCTATACAAAATGTATATGTTATATTTTAATATATATACATATCTATCTATCTATCTCACAGTCTGAATTAATTCCGAATTACCTGAAGTCCAGGCACTCCTGGCAATCCCGGATCACCTTTTGCACCATACCCTTGGTTATATCCATCTGCAGGGCACCCCTGGACAATTAGATAAAAAGGAAGATAAAAAGTTATGCTGTAGAACTGTCTAGTGGAACAAATCTTCTAATACAGTTTATAGGGAAATAAGTGACATCAGAATTGCATAATGATGTTCACTATGGATAGTTCTACCTTTTAAAAGATTTTATTAAACAGAATATACTTTTCTCAGGCATTCCAGTTCTCTGTTAGGAGCACTCTTCATTTCAAACATACCTATGTTACTCACTGTCCTAACCCTCAATTTTTTTTTTTTTTTCTTTTTCTGCCTTTAAAATACTCTCTGGTGCATCTGCAGATTTCCATATGAATTCATAAGCTGTTTGGGGCAGGGGTTTAGTTCTTTGCATGCTTGAAAGGGTTAAATTCATTACACACAGTAACAGTATTTAAAGGGGAAAAAATTATGTACTGTTTTGTAAGCCCAGGGTGAATGCAGCTAGTACAGAGGAAACACTACAGTTTGTGGTTGCTGCTTCTGGAAAGTAGACCTTGTTTCTCATGAATGAAGATGTTAAGAACTCGTTTCCAGTAGCAGATACCCACAAGCAGTTGATCATCAATAAATATTTCACGTAATATGGTGTAAGTAACTGACCTTCTCTCCTTTGATGCCAGCAATACCCTAGGGAGAAGAACAATCATATTATTAAAATAGAAAAGTTAAGAGAGACAGTGGCAAAAGGACACCTTGTAAATATTCTCTGAGCCTAGTGCTAAGTTACTTATTTTCATGGACACAGTTTATAGCCAGGTACACGTTTACTGTGCCAGACTTCAATTTAAGAAGAAAGGGCATATTGTTAAAAAATAGTCCAGTCTCACAGTTATGACTCCACAAGTGAAGGCAGAACAGTTTCGAAGCCTGACCTTAATAAATAAATAAATAAAATCAGGAGAGCTCATAAAGTAAAAATCATGTTTAGAAGTGATTAGATTTGAAGCCACTGAAACTTGACAGACAGCGTTCCTTTTCCATTTCTTGTTTAGAGGTTTCTTTTAAAAACACATTTCTACAGAGAAAAAACAAATCCCAGGGTTAGAGCAATGCAACCATAATGAGAAGCTCTGGGTTTAATTCCTGGTTATTATTGACTTAATTAGGCCATATTCTCAAAGATATTTGGGCATGAAATGAAACTGCAATCTATTAAATATATATTGGACACCTTTAGATATGAGAGTGGTAAATTTTCATGAGTATCCCTTGAGACATTAAAGAGCTAACACCAGTTAATGATTTTGCATGCACTCATTAACTAAGAAGTTGAGGCCCAATATGCAGAAGATAAAGCATTACGTCTAACTTTGGTTTCTTTATCACAGTTTCCATATTAATAAAATGGGGATACCTATATATTTCAACTGTTGTTAAACAGTTGGCCAGCTAATGTGAGGCTTTACATTCCTTCAGTGAATGGCTTTATGTAGAAATGCACACAATCATGAATTTCACAGACACCTACTGGAATGCCTGGAGCACCTCTTCTACCTGGAGGACCTGGAAAACCTCGATCGCCCTGAAAGTAATGAGTGACTATTAATGCATATTATTGTTTGGTCTGATTTTAGCAAATGTGATTACAAAAGAAGTCTTTTATGCTATCATGCCAAAATTTTGAGTTGCGTTATCACTATGTTTGCTAGAAGGGGCAGAGCCTGACTGTATGAGTCTGGGCTGTATCCCAGACACCAGGTTTTATTAGCTATGTCAGATCAGTTTACTGTTTCACTAGAAATGTACCATTTTCTGTCGTAGGCATTCTTCTGACTCCCTCTTTCAGAATGCTGGAAGCGTTTGCTCATAGAGCAAAGAAAAACTAGTAAACCTGTAACTTAACATTAAGCCTTTTCTTTTAATTTGAGGACTTCTGAATTGTCAACTGCAAGCTACATACTGGTGAAATAAAATTCATTATCTATCTCTTCTATAACCCTTTCAACAGAAGGATAGATTGGACAAAACTGATTAGGTCTTCTGAATTTAATTTAAAAAGTTTTATCTGTCAAAATATCAAACGTTATTCTTAACTTTTTAGCAAAGGCCATGAACATGTATTATTTAATTATCTATCTTGCACAAAAAGGCAGCAAATTTTTCCCAGTTGATAAAGTCACAAACCAAACCAAATCAAAGTCATCATATATTGGGGGAAAAAATTCAGAATGCTTTTTGGCCATTCCTAAACATAGCCAAACACAATCTAGGTAACATTCAGCTTGGTTTGTACCTTTGTGCCATTGCATCCTGGAACACCCGAGTACCCAGGAGGACCAACAGTTCCCGGTTCACCCTAAAAAGAAGTGCAAAATTGACACAAGCTTTGTTTTCGCACATTCATACTACCCTACAGCAACATTGAAAGAGTTTATGTTGGAGCAGTGTTTCACAAGACTTGACAGATTACAATGTGTTCTTAAATCATTACAATGAGTAAGAACTGCTGATGCTAAGATTGCTATCTCTAGGCTAATTGACAGAGACAATGCTGATGTTGAGACTAGAGGGAGCACATTAGGCTGACGATAATTGTGTACTGAAGACTGTAGTAAGAAAGAAATGGTTAAATCAGTTCTGTTTGTACTTACTGGAAGGCCTGGGGGACCTGAAAATCCAGGTATTCCTGGGACTCCCTAATGATATAAAAACAGAGGAATAATTTTACAAATATTAAGCAAAAGCTCATGATGCAGTTTTCCTTTTGATCGCATTCATAAGAAGAATGAATGCAAGCATGATTCTGTCAAGAGATCATTATTTCCTTAACCCTTCTGACTCTGAACCAAGTATAACAGTAGCTTATGCCCTATTAACATAGACTGGTTTCGACCACAGAAAAAAACTCAAAACAACTCCTCATGGAATTCTAGTCTGACTTTTTCATAGCACACCCCAATACTAAATACATACAGCACAAACACTGTACATAAGGTGTAGCAAAAAAGGCGAAAGTTCTAAAAAATAGATAATACCCATGTCATACATTTTAAAAATACTTCAAAATCATACATAATGGTTTTATTTTTCACAAATCATTGAAGCAAGTTGGCATTTAACCTGACATTTAATATATACAAGTTTGCTTAAAATATAAATACTTACTCGTATACCTTTGGGTCCAGCTAAGCCTGTAAGCCCTGGAGAACCCTAGATCACAAATGGAAAACAATGTATTTCAATATAATTGAGAAAAAGTACATATATGTCAACAGGACATGCAATATTTTTAATACCAATACCCACATGTGCACAAAAAACTATATAAATAAATAAAAAATGATTTGCCTATTACAGACACTAAAGCAAACAAGCATTTAATACAACTTGCATAAATCTTGGCATCTTGCCCTCCTTTTCAGTGTTATGGGGGATGTGTCTCATCATAGGTCAAAAAAATAAGTCAGAGTATGTTGAGAAGCAGTTGCTATGGAGCTGTCCAAACTGTGAGACCTGGAAGTGCTTTCCTGTGAGGAAACAGCTGGAAGCCTCACCAGTACTCAGGACAGCTTTTTGGCTCCCAGATATGGGTGACGTTCATGTAATGATAAGGGATATGCATGTACCAGCCACTCTCACCTGCACTGTGGTGCGTGGAAAGGAAAGCCAGGAGAAGGCTGAAAGGAGGCTGAGCAGGATGGAAGAGTAAGGCTGAAAGAAGACAGCAAAGCATGCCACAGCACAGTCTAGACAGAACCTGCTGGAATTGCTTCAAGACACTTAGAGCTTTACCGATAGCAAGAAACTTTTATTGTTCCCAGAAAGGAATGGGGAATCTACAGAACTGTGTGGCTCCTAAAATCCTGGGCAACACTTTGTTTCAGATAAAGTACAGGCTTTGAAAAGGAAAAGCTAACTGGAATACGCTACAATAGATGGCATTCAGGCTAAGAGAGATGTTACTGCTGGATAAACTATCCTTACTTTTTGCCATTCTTGCAGAAGTTGTTATCACTTATTAAAATGCCCTACTAAATACTTTTCAGTGAGTTCAGATAAATGGCTCAACAACATGTACGAGATCCACCATGAGCATCCATCAGTTCCACAAAGTATTGTAAAAATGAGATAGGACAGAATAATGCAATAACACCCAAACAAATTAAAATGATAAAAAATTTTGTTTAAAGGTATGGTTAAGTGCTGGAGACACATTAATGCAGGTCCTAGACATAATGTGATTGTGGCTGTACCTTTCTGATTTATTGATGACAGCAGGAACGCTGTTTCTCAAGACAAATATAAATAAAATGTTTCTTAATGAACAATTTGGTTTTTTCTGCTCATGTATGAGTCATTGAAAATTCATATTTAGGCTCAGTATAGGCATATGGGAAAGAAAGCCCAAGTCACTGAAGTCACTCTCTCCGTACTGCAGGCAACTAGGTATTTCTTAAACAGACCAAGATTTATCTTAAAAACCATCTTTCCCCTCAAATTTTCTTAAATTCATTTTTCGTATTTGTTTCAGTAGTAGCTTGTTTCCTCTCTTTCCAGCAAGAGATGTCAGAGCATACTGTTAAGACAAAATTGAGATTATGCTGCTAAAATCTATTTAGACCCATGTTCATTGCCTCTGGCAGTTTAGTCCAGGTGCTTTAGCACTGGCGACTGGCCAACTGACAATAAAAGCCCATGTTCGTATCAGATACTTCCACTCGGCCAAAAATGACCATTGCAGCTGGTGACCACACAACATCCCTCACCAAATAACTCTGCAACAGGTTTTGTTTTGGCTTGGTTTTGGTTTTTAAAACAGAATTCTCTACTCAGTCATAGCTCACTTCCAGAGTCAAGTGCAGTGGTTTCCCTGTGTGTCTTTCTGCGTGTTTCACATACACACCTACCTTTGGTCCCTGTGGCCCTGGAGGCCCTTCTGGACCAGGAAAGCCTCTAAGACCAGGTGGACCTGGAACACCAGGAAAGCCTTTTTCACCCTGTAAACATTAAGAGAAAGTTGTTCTTAAAATATCCATGAATTCTCCTTTTGGTAAGTTATTTTTAAGGCATTCGTTACTTAATTTCTATGTATCTGTCTGCTACTGTGGCAGATATGTTACTCTTGCCCACACTGACCTGTTTTTGTGGTCCTGCCTGTGTGCTGTCTAGGCCATATAGTACCACTTAAGTAACATGCTCATAAGTCTAGTTGAAGATATCAGAAGACAACAGTACTCAAGATTTTGCAGAGTACAGAAGTTAACTGGCAGCATGAAAAGTTTAATAAAGCAGCTGATACATATTCCTTGTTAGTATTTCTATATTGTGTTTAGTCCCTACAAGAAACACAAATCCAAATCCATCATAGTAGCCCTAATTTGTAGTTGGCAAACTTAATGGCTGCTGCTGTACAGTAAGGTCAGTTCCAGATCATCAGTATCTCTCTTCATGCAAACCATGGAAAGAAACAGTGGGAGTCAAATGAAACAAAACCATTCAAATAGAATAAAAGAAGTTTGCTTTAAGTGACAGCTTTTAAATATTGTTCTGAGTCTCAGAGATTAGGACACCCAATTACTTTTTCATGTGTTTTTTAAGGTCAAGTTCAAATAACCAAATCATGTAAAAGACAGACAGAAGATAAAAGCTACACAAATAGAATACAGAAGGCTAAGTTACAGTGGAAGGGGCATTTTCAGTTTTTTACTTAAATATAATGAAAATGCAAGTCTTATCTTGATTAAAATAAAGTGCTTGAAGCCTGGAAACTCACAGGAAATGTGTTTCAGCTCTTTCGATAGCAGCAATTTAGCGTGCTCAATTTTACAATAGCAAAGAGCTGCCTATTCAAGACCTTTTACATCACAGCATGACATGGGAGAGAGAGGATGGGGTTATCAACTCTCTCAGTCAATTTTCCTATTGCTTTATCAGGGAAGAGTTATACAAAAAAGCACTTGCAATTTTGCTGTGCAGAAGTTCCGGTATTTTATTATTTAATGTACAAGATAGGATCCAAAAAAGTCTCTTGGAAGTCAAAACACCTTGGCTTGTCCTTCCACCAATTCTCACCCCTCAAAATCCCACAAACCAGATTTTAAATAGCTTCTGAATTTAAAAAAAAAAATAAAAAAATGTAAAGATAGAATATAATCCCAGAATACTTTGACAAAATTCAAAATAAGAATTGCATTATGAAGTCTTTGTGAGATCTGTATCATAAACCGGTATAGCTTTTTATAACAAACCGTTTATTGCATCCACCAGCGTACCAAGAAAGACAAAAAAGGATCATGCTATACCAAGATGTGCCACTGGAGGGGGTGTGGTACTAACTCACAGAAAAACGAACGAAGACCTTGATCTTCCTCCACCGAGCTTGCTACCGCCTCACTGAAGCAAGCCATGGGGTGCCCCCCAGATACAGAGCAGCACTGTGCTTTCCTGACAGCTTCACTCCCCTCCAGGCAGTTTTATCCACATTTTCTTTATGACAGCTCAACAAGATCGGAGGATTCTCAAGTTGGGGAATTTCTTAACATTGAAGAGTTATCACAACATATTGATTAATGTAACTGTCCTGACTTTCCAAAGCTGCCTGAAAAATTTACTCAGTGTAAACAATTATTAACTCTTACCTACTTATTGCTCAGTTGTGGGTGTTCATTCTTACTAGTATTTCTCTCTTAGTGGGCAGCTTATTTTTTTCTAATTTTTCAATTGGTCTTGATTTTACAGGTTAGGATAAAGTCAGGTTAGACCAACTAAGAACATGAAAAATAAGCACTGAGATTTTACTAAAGATATGAACATGAAAAATAAGCACTGAGATTTTACTAAAGATATGACTATTCTTCTTTCCCACTCATGAAAATATGATTTAATACTGAACATCTTTACTTTGAGAGAACTTTTCTCCACCACGGAAATGAAGCTTCCTAAAAGCAAGACCAGCAGTGTTTACTGTGGTGCAATATGATATTTTTTCTTGGTAATAAAAGTACAGGAGGGAAGTTGTGAGTAATTATTTACCAGCCAGATGTGTTGATCAGTGAGACTAATCACAACCCTAAGTCTCTATAGACATCTGGAACCTACCGATAAGATTTAGTATGGCAATCACTGTGTCCACAGTTAGCCTGAATTACAACCATGACTTCTTTAATAATACCCCTTTCATTTGTGAATCCGTTGTTTTTCCAACTACAAGCAGGAGTCTGAAAGAATTTTTGGCATTTGTGTAATTCAGGTTTGTCTAAAAGCCACTCCAGGCCTCTGCCAAGCTACTGTTGGCAACAGACAGAGCTGCAGCTCTGTTACGTTTGATGGATTTGATGCTGGCAAGGTGTTTGTGATTAGAATCCAGAAACTCATCCCCTGTGTTAGTCTGCAGGAGATTTATCTGTTTGATACCAGTGCATGTAGCTTTCCTTCAGGAACCGGAAAAGGGGTTCAGATGGGCAAGGTCCAAAGCTGGAAAGCGGGAAGCACTGAACATGACACTCTCACGAAATTTGTAACAGGAGAGCTGCTGCCAGGGTAATGCTATCTGTGAGCATTTCTTAGGAGTTTGTGAAAGAGACCTAGTGCTTCTGACAGTTGTTCTTGTGCTGGTATTCAAACATCACACAATGCTGTAAACAAACTAATGGATTTAAAAAAAAATTAAACATTTAAAAGCCTTCTCAAACAGTGTGTCCAGAGTTATTTTAAAAGATTTTTTTTAAGGTAACGTATTCCTTTCACAATTCTTTGTAGACTGTTGACAGAATACCCTCACACAATAAATTCACTCACTATATCAACTCAACTAATGTATTAACAATTTCCAAACATAAGCTAATCTTAAAAAAGGAAAAATGTGTTTGTTCTTACCTTATTTCCTTTCATGCTATCGCAAAAGCAGGGACTTTTACCTTTGCATACGCAGCTCTGAAAAACAAAAAGACAAGCTTTATAATACAATTATTTTTCTTATTCTGTTGTTTGATGAGGGGCAAAGGAGATCTCAGTGGCTTTAGCAAGGTAATTATTCCACAACTTAAAAATAAATGTTTGTGAAAAGTGGCAATTCTCAACAGTGGAAAAGAGCTCATTATTCCTCTGTACTGTCTTTTGACAGTAGTTTAATTTTTCAGTTGGGGTAAAGGCCAAGAAGCTGTGCTTCACACCACCAAGGCTCTATCTTCAGTATGCAGTGTAAAATTCAAGAGTTTGGGCTCACAGGACTAAACATTGTTTCTATAGTAAGTTTTTTAAAGAATCACCAAATACACATACTGATATTGTTTTAGATTATATTATTTCTATTTTAATCTATTAACCAACAATTTTCTGACTTTTTGTAGCTGCATTCACCTCCTGACCCTGGCTCATGGTACCTAATACAATTTCAAAGGATTCTCAACCTTGCTGTTTCTTAATTCTGCAGGTTTCCTGAGCCAAGCTGTGTGACAGTGAGTGCCCTCACACAGGGATGTCCCCACTCCTGCACCAAGTCCTGGGCTGTAGCTGCTACCAGCTTGTCTGTGTCCTCTGGTGAGTCTGGAGTTCAAAGCCCTCCTTGGAGGGCTGAGTGCTGCACTGTAGCATTCAAACCTCTCTTTGAGTCTGTGACCTCTACTGCCAGAGTGTGGCATGGCTATCAGGGAGCAACAATTTAGGAAAATTCAATGATTAAACAAGTATGAAGAGATAGTCAGGTTTTTACTGTTCAGACTTAAGTGAAACAAACAAACAAAAACCCCAAACAAAGATAGTCAGTATGTAACTGGATATACAGTATGACTAAATTAGCTAGCTCATGTACTAGGTAGTCATAGCAGGGAGCTCAGCAGAGCTGCAAAGCACATTTGAGATCCTGGGTGAACATGAGAACACTTAACTCTTCTGTGCCCTGTTCCTGATACAGCTGTTATGGACTCAGTACCTGAGCTAGCCCAGTCTGGCTGGGATAACTCTGCAAAGGACTTTTCTACACTCATGTAGACATACCCTGTTTCAGTGGAGTGGAGGAGAAAAAAAATAATCCTTTGTTAACATAAATATTATACATACTAAAATATTGTTGAGGTTATTAAGGCCATGTATTTCATACAGATGCAGGGTAAACTGCATTTATTGCCCTTCTTTGTACACTGAAGTTCTTCCCTTTGTTTTTGAGGCTCTTGCTGAATGACTTTTTCAATTGTACTGCTCTAGAAAGAGTTATTTTTCAGTTTATCCTCCCACTTTACTATATATGTTTATCACAATAACTTATACTATGGTATAGTTACAGACAATAAGGGACAAATATGACATTGGTTATGAAGATATTTTTCTAAAATTCAGAAAAGAAGGAAGAACTGTACTTTTTCTTACAAGATTAAAGCCTTTAAGATGGTATGATGTGAAGTTTCTATTTAGATCTTGAAGACAGAATTAATTAACCCCTACAGCTGGTCATAATACAACAGCAGCACTGTTTCAAATTTATAACTTTTCCAGTGGTGTTCTCAAAAAAACAGAAAACAAAAGACAGAGGAAAAAATGTTATCCATTACATTTAAAAATGATGTCAGACTCTCATTAAATTTAAATTTTCCTGTAGCAATCTGTTCAGGTAAAACATTTTACAGGATAGAAAAGTATCTTTTCTTCCCACAAGCTAGGATCAAGTTCTATCTTTATCATCCAAAACTGAGGTATGTGGTATCAGCTAGCTGCCTTCATTTCTTACGCAGTTCATGGTGTTTGTCTCTTCCCATTGACTACACAAGGAAACTTGACAACCAGTTTGGAACTGCTCATCCAATCTCTTTAAGTGCCTCTTTTAGGATGGAGGAAAGATGCTGCAAGTACTTGTGGTTCTCTGTGGACTAGACAATTACTGACAGTAGCTGCCTGTCTTTTAGGTAGCTGAAGTTAGGTGAGATGATGCCATCTATTAATTTATAAATAGATGCAAGGGGTATTCCTCAAGTGAACAGCTATTTAAACATTCTTTTACAAAATAAAACAGAAGTTAAAATCAGTCAGCCATGAAAATGCCCCAATGGCTGCGTCTGCCTGTGTTCTGTAGACAGATTAATAGGTGATTACTTGATGTTTCAAGCTAGATTTTCGAAGAGTTGCAAACATGAAATACTTAAGTCTTTGGCATATTTAAAGAACACTCTTTTTTCCCCTGATCTGACAGCTAGAATTCAAGTGGTACTGCATCAGAAATTTGGAAAACAAAGGTGTTGTGTAAGACAGAAACTATGTGACTATGCTGCCTTTACTATTATTTTAACCAATATGATTATATCACCAGAGACACAATAAACACTAGTGTTGAATTAACAGCAAACAGTACCCTGATTTCTTTTTGATGAGGTCTATGAGATTGAAACTGGTTAATCTAAGTTCACCAAGTTATATGACAGATATCTTAATCCATTAAGCATAAATACCAGAGGCTAAAGTGACATACATCTCAAAATAAATTTGGAACACTCAGTAAGACAACCAATTTTTCTTGATCCCTATTCAATAACAGTACCTTCCATCCCAAATTATTCTCTTCAAAATAGGTGACACAGGTTATCAGTACATGCCCGCTAAGCCATATAAAAATGGTAACTGTTCAATGATCAGCATCCCAAGGAAACATGTAAACTAGGACACAATAAAAGCAGTCTTAAATTGCAGGCACTGCATTTTACTGTTGTACAGGGCTGGCAAGTGACTCAAGCTACCACATTCTCAAGGCTTGCAAATTAAAATTATAAATGAAGTACAAGACCTGTGAGACCCATTTACTCAGCAATCTCAACTGCTGAAGCAGAGATTTAGCTTACAGATTTAGTAGACACATGTCTGAGTCCAGGAAAGGCGCTGTTTACTGAGGAAAAAATGCTTACAGTATTCCAAATTCTCTGGATTTCTTCAGTGTAACTGGGAACATATCCTGCCTGACCATAGAGAGCTTTCCTGACAAACAGCCACACTTGGCTTCTAATCTTCCTAGTACCAGTTGTTTACCATCGTAAATCTACAGACCTTCATGGAGTTGCACATTATTTCTACTTGGGAAAGTAAAGCTGGAAGCAGATTCTTTACAGTATTTGTACGCAAAGCACAGTTTTCAGGACACATCAAGCAATCACCAAATGGAATGACTATTCTATAATAGGTATAATCTGCAGAAGACTTGGTATGTACAGATACAGAATAAACTTTTTCTTTTAACTTACAATCAAAGATAATCCAATGTGAAGTTAAATGCATGAACATGTAGAAACTTATGATGCTACACAACTAATCAAGGTTATTAAACTATTTAAAGAAAAAGCGCCTTTGCTCTTCAAGAAGTCAGAATGCTTAGAATGTGTTTAATTTGCCATTAGTAAGCTTTCAGATCAATTTAGGTCTTTTTGTGTACACATATCACTTTAAACTAAACTGAAAAGACCAAAGATGATTTTACATTACACAGTCAGTTAGCTGGATAATACTAAATGTTTTGGCATATGATTTTTACATAAGATTAGATTATGCCTTCTGTAAAGGAGCTTTGAACCAAAAAATCATTGCTCACACTACTGGATGTTTCCACATCCTTGCAAGATGCCTGCAGCTCCTTTATCAAAGGATCATAACAAAACAATAGTATATTGCCAGGTTATAAGATAAGGAAATTGAACATTAGTTATTAATGGGTTATTCAAAATCCTCACGATAACATCTACATAAGTAAATGCATTAGCAAAGCCACAGGTTTACTGTGTGTTTTTCAGTTTTGTGATTTTTGTAATAATTAATCATCTATGTTTATTTCAAATATTTAGATATGGTAGATGGCACTAGATTTTTGATCTAAAAATCTAAGCCAAAGAATAAAGTCAGATCATTATATGAATAATAAATCAAATTAATTCACCAATGAACCAAAATTTAAAAACCCCAATGCTTTCCTGGAGCAATTTACAGAGGAGCTCCTTCCAGAAGTGTTTTGAGTGATAGTAGTAGTATGTTCTTTAAACAATTACACTTGTACATGCTGAAGCATATTTTCTGCAGCGGTTAATATTTCATTCAGTGGGTGCAGCCTTATCTATAACACTGAATTGCCCTTCCTACACTATGGGATTGGATTCTACAGGGCTCTGACCTCTTCCTGCTCCCAATTCAGACTAACTTAAGCATCTGCTTAAAATGTGTTCCAGTTCTCTCCTTCACTGAATCGCTCAAATAAATGACAAAGATAAAAGGAAGAAATAACATAATACGGACTATGTTGTCACCTATATAAAGCTTTATGTAGATTCTGCATGGCACTGCTATTGCTACCCTTGCAGTCATGGCAACTTAATTTGGAGTATCAGGGAAAATCATACATAGCTCACAGCACTTTACCAAAGAACTAGTTATATGAAGGATGTCGGAAAATGTTATCAAACCTGAATATGTCAAAGGACGTCAAAAAGCATTAATGTAAAGGAAGAAAGCAAACAATGATAGGTGTTTCTATCAATGACACAGGCTTTGAGTCCTGTCACTCACATTTGTGGGGCAATGCAATCATAGTGGGAATGGTTTAAAGGCAGGAAGATGAGGAACAGATGAAATGAGCCAGTGAGGGTGATAAGCCAATAACTCTCCATTGATCTCTTTTTGGAATTACATATATCATGACAGAACAGTCAAGACTATTTGTTTGCTTTTCCAGATCCAGAGAAGATCAGAGTAGGTCAGCTATGATTTCAAAATACATATTTGTATTAAAAATATTGCACCCAGGACAGAGAGGCAGCAAAACGTGTTGTTGCAGGCCACAGGCACCACATTCTTTATGTTTCAGATGAAAACTACATCAAGACCACAGAGGACGAGTAATAAAGATATTCAGACGAAACTGAGATGAA